GTTATAAGTGTGTATAAGAACAAAATGAAATATCAAAATTACTTTTTCAACAAGCAGGCTGAGCTTTGTTCTACTGTAGATTCGATTTGCTGCTCTATGAAGTTTTTTATATGTATTACTTAGGTTATAGTATTTGCGATAAAACTGAATTACACACCCAAGGCTCCCTCACTTATTTCCATATACATACATATGTAATTACATAAGTATATAAAACCAAGAATAAATGAAAGAAATTTACATTCTTGAAGTTATTACCGGCTGTATAATTCGTCATTAAGGTAGGCTAAACACCATAGGTAGATAAGGATAAGGTATTCCTGATTTGCGGACTGGATTGTGGCAACGTCCTCAGCCATTGGTGATGTTTTGGTTGAAAATGCTCGTTTATTTATTTGTATTTCGAGCTTTTTGGCCCAAGAAAAGAATGCTAGTTTATGTTTTTTTTTTGTTTTTGAAAACGCTTGTTTGAAAAAAAAAAAATATCAGAAAGGTGTTTAAAGTATCCCCATCGAACGCTTCATGATCATCGTGTTAGACCTAGTCGGCGCAAAATGTGTGGCGAGAGTGGTCGCAAAACTTAAAAACCAACAGCCGAATGTACTACACCGCTGTATAGATCTAACTTTTAGGCCATTTTATATTTCCCTCATTAAGGGCCAGTTTTCAGTACACGGCGGTGGTTTAAACTCAGTTTAAATGCTCCATCTGGCTGGTTTAAACTAAGATTAGCCAATCAAATGTCAACCAGCTGTTCAATTTAAACTCAGTTTACTCAGTCTAAGTTTAAACTGGCACTGAAAAACTGGCCCTAAGAAATAATTACCAAAAAAACAATTTAATGTTGAAGAGAAGTGCAGTAGGGTATTTGGGCCTAGTATTTTGAAGGTCTATATGTATAGACCATTGAAAAGGTCGGCATCAAAAAATTAAATGTTATTCGATGGAAATAAATTCGCCCCTACCCTGTGAATTGAGCAACCATCTAGAGATTTCGGGCATCCTGCTGATGGCCCTAAGCGGAATAATAGCTTCAGCCGTTGGTCTGCAGGCGGTTCATCCGCCAAAAGTCCCTAGATCTGATAGCTTCAATAAATTTCGGGCGAGCCATGATATTCTCCTCGTCCGCCGAAACCCCCGAGGGGTTCAAAAAAAGAAACCGTCGCTACTCAGCCTGGCTACTACACATTGCTTCCCAACTCTTGAAGGATACAATGTTGTTCACCTTCGAAAGCATTGCTAAGGCTTTCATGTTTCTGCGAACTGTTTGACCTTTCTCTAACGAATATCCGATACAGGGCAACCAATATTGTTCAATATAAGCTGAGAAACAAAGAATTATTTTCTTCTCAGTTTCCGTAAATCCTATAAATTCAGTTATCATCTGTTAAGTAGTTTTGCTTCTTTTACTCTAACAACTATAATGGTGTCCGCAGAATTCCCAATAAAGCCATAAGTTTCAGCTGTTGAAATAATTGAATTTTATTGCATTGGTTACGTAGTGCATAGGTCCTCTCTCCACACACCACAAAGAGCAAAGTACGAAAGTTTTTATAAACAGAAAATACTGATACGCACTAATGCTTTTCAAAAGGCGACGCCAGCCACGCCAATCAACACTACTTTATGCCCATAAAGCTAGTGAAACTGCGTTTGTATTTTATTTTGCAAGAAAATTGTATGTAAGTAAAAAGTAGATATGTGTAAAAATACATACATATACCGTTGGGCCAAGTTAAAAGTGAGCAAACTTTTTGATTTGTTATTTTCACAAGGCTGTCACATTATTTACAAATTAAGCCAAGTGCGCAACCAAACAGTTAGCGTATATTCGCACCATTTTAGAGGGCGTAGTAGGATGATTTATTGCTTGCATGAAAGGCAATGCGTTTGTACTTTGTGTGAGCAAAAATCGAGAATCACATTTTATTACTGCTTGGCATTTTGGCTTTGTATCTACATATGTGTTTATTGATGGCCACGCCAAAGCGATGTAGTTTTTATTTTTAAATACTTTTCCGAAGGAATACAGCCTATAATAGAGACGAAGACTACAAAGAACCCAGACTTGTGTTTTTTTTTTAAATGCTCTCGCTTATTCCTTTGTATACTTTGTTTTATTTAAACAAATTATCGCTCCTAAGTGTATGGTTGTGTGATTTTGTTCGTTGGGTATTCATAAGTGAACCTTTTTTTTCGATACTACATAACCCTTGATTACTTTAAACCGCACACTTTTTACTTTTTCCTCATTTCATAGCGCAAAACTTTCGCCGTCTCACATCACGGCAAAAGCGGTGGCCTGACGTTGGACTGGCAGTCTGGCTTCTCGCTAGCGGAAGGCGCCGACTCGGCCATCGTTTGGCAATATAAATTCTCCCAGCTACGCGGTTCGAGCGATGATGGAAAATCAAAATTAAAACTACATTTTCAGGATCATGAAACGCGTGCAATTGAAACAAAAGTAAGTACAAGCATACAAACACCATAACTTATTCTATATTTCATATGGAAATACATACATATGTATATTAGGGTAGTACTTAAAAATCAAAAGAACGATTTTTTTTTCATTCTTACCCCCTCAATCGATAAAAACATGGTCACAGATATCACATATAAATTTTTGTTCCGATTGGAGACTGTTAAGGCGTGTCGCACAGGTGGCAAAGTTCAGAGTCCTCTACGGGGAGTCGAAAAATTGAAATGATTTTTTTTTTCACCTGATACCTAACTACTGGAGTCGATTAAAGCATGTCGCAAAAGGGGTAAAAGGCCTCTAAGGAGGCTCAAAAAATTTGAATTTTTTTCATTTAATAGACACCTACCCAAAATCGATACTACTAAGTCGAAGATATCACATTTAAATTTTGGTCCCGATTGGAGTCGGCAAAGACGTCTTCTTTGATATTGGGACCAATATTTGTATGTCATATCTTCGACTATGTAAGTATCGATTTTGGTTATTAGGTGAAAAAGAAATTAATTTTAATTTTTTGAGTTACCATAGAGGAATCTGAATTTGTCCCCTGGGCGACACGCCTTAACCGTCGCCAATCGGGACCAACTTCGACTATAGTAGCATCCACGTATGGATTGCGGCTTAGGAAATCTGATGTAAAAATTTGCTTCCTACATTTAATGACCACCCTAATGTACATATGTACATATGTATATTCAAACGTGCCTACCAACGTACACTCCACATTTCCAACTCCTGCCGACATCCCTTCATTCCGCATCGCGTATGATTGATGGTAATGAGTTCAGCACTAGTGAGATGGCAAAAGAAAAAAGTCGACGGGGGCGAGTAGCTCTTGCATGCAACTGTCGACTGTCGACTGTCGACAAAGCCGTGTGACAGCCATATCAAAGTACCATTTTGCCATTTCTGAATGTTCGCTTTGACTTTTTTGCGAATTTAAAAGCACGAAACAAAAGATG